AAATTGCAAGGAGAAGTATAATGAAAGATTTCCAAGTGAAGTTGATTGAAAATTTATTGAAAAAAATTTATAAACCGAATAGAAAACATGAAAATTACTTAATAGAAAATTCATGAAGAAGCAATTCTTTCCAATCTTAATATATTATATATTATATTGTCGAATTCTGTTTTTTATATTTAATATTGGAATTGTGAAAAGAAATTCCAAGGATTCCACAATTCTGCGAAATAATATAGATTGGATTGAACGTTAATTGTTAATCAATTCTGTTAATGGTAACGCGTATTAATGCTACTTTATTCTTGCACCGTTGCCACAAGATTTCCAAAGTTATAATAACGTCAGAAATCCACGGCTTTTTTTATACTTATCTCTGTAGAACTTTTGATTTGATCCGATAGAAAGATTCGATCTGTTCGTAGAATTCGTTACTGGAATTCAAAGTATTCTGGAAACTTACGAACACATTTTCTGGGCTATGATCCGATCGATATCATCTCTGTGGCAGACATAGCGAAACTCACGAAATGTCTGGAAATTTCCATCAAAACTATGAGGAATATCGAATTTTAATTAATCACCGCTTTTGCAGCGATGGTGAATCTTAATCGCAAGTTTATGAGTTTACGAGGCGTAATAAGTTGAAATTCAAATGCACATTTTATTAGTGTAATTATTCGCTTTCGTCTATTTACTTGCCGTGGTACCATAATTCCGCTTAGTAGGAATTAAATAAATGATTCAATTGACAAACGTTTGCAATTGCTGGCTAAAATTTCGTTCTCGTCAGTAGAGTGATTTAATTTGCGATTAAAATTAATTTTGACGTCACTGAAGTTAATTATCTTCAAATTCTATAAATTATTTTCCTATCTTCGAGAAATGTTAATTCTTTACTATTTATATTTATTTAACTCTAACTACCAATTAAAATTCGTCATCGATTGTAACAATGAAATTTCACAAATTTGTTTCTAAATTCATCGAAACCTTTTCCTACATCTCTAGGAAATAGTAACTCCCTCTCATCTACTATATTTATGTATCCAATTTGATTGAACTAACTAAAAATTACTAATTAAAATATCGCCGTAATCGATGAAATTCTATTAAAATTAATCCTAGGATTTATTTTCAAATTTTTTAAATTTTATCTATTTTATTTATTTTCACTCGGTTTCATAGTTGAAATGTATTGTTGCCCAGCAGGACGTCAATAGAATTGCGTAACGTAATTAATCACAAACAACCTTGAAATTCTCTTACTGCCCTTATGCAACAATTTTTTTTTTTTTTTTTTTTTTTTTTTTTCTAGCGTTAAGCATGGACGATTAAACGCATTTCAAAATATCCGTGTTATCAGCTGAAAATAGGCCACTTCGTATTTGTGTAATCCTGCGCCGATATCGATTTTCCCAACTTTTCATTTATTAACAATTTACAAACATCACCGTGTATTTATAACGCGCTACACTACATATATCACGCCTGGCATATTAAATTTTCCTCGATGATCAACAAATTTCGGAAAATTCAAACCTAATCCATCCACCACCACGTTCTTTGTGTATTTACTATGCACGTGAAATATATAAAAATTTTGCAAATTAACAGGAGTACTTGCATTTTACAGAGCGTGGAAATATAGAAAATATTTATATGTTCTATGAGAAATTGTCGATAATTCAAATTTGTATAATTTTGTGAAAAAAAATATCTTAGGGGATTGACTGAATGAAGGGGAGACTTCAATCTTCAAGACTATGGTACGAAGAAAATTTTTCAGTGATCATAAAAACGGTTGAATTTGCTAAACTTTCTCTTCCCTGTACCAGCAGAACGAGCATTTCTAAAATGTTGTATCTCAAAATAGATTTCTATCTCTAATAAATGAGAGATAGTTTTCTTTCTTTCAAATAAAATAATTTCTGTATCATCAATAATAATAGTTGTATAATATTATATAATAATATTGTTATATTATAATATTATATAACATATTATTATCATCAATAATAATAGTTATATAATATTATATAATAATATTATTATATTATAATATTATATAATAATAATAATTCCAAATAGTTAAATTTCTAAATAATTTCTAAACTATTCTACCTTAAAAATATCGCGATTTTCTCAATCCTCTCAGAGTCTATTTGTTTTTCTTTTTTTATTGTCGCGCGTTGCTTCAAACGGCGCGTCCAACTGAAATCGCCCGTAAACCATCGTCATGGCAACTGAATAGATTAATCCACGGTGACGCAGTATCATCAAGATGTCAACTTGAAAGTTCAACGAGCTTTCCAGAAGACCTGCGCCGCGTCGGACTGTGCGTATGGTGCGTGTCGGAGAAAGCTGTTGGTTCTATCCGAGCGGGAAATTACACGATGAGCGTCGAAAATTCGATTGAATAAACGCGTGAAATAATAAAGGCACGGAACTCTTGAAATTCGGTGAACGAGGATTTCTGTGATTGTCCACGGCTCTTATCGGTTTATCGGGGTAATCAAATTCATGTAATGGTTGTGAAATGGGTAGTCAATCAGGCGTGAAATGAATAGTCAGTCTACACGTGTGTATATAAATATGTGTAAGTACACGTGCGTTGTGCGAAGCATTTAATTTTGATCACATTTCTACATTAAAATTAAAAACAGAATTGCATATTACGTTGCACGAGTTGCTCAGGGGCCATGCTGATTAACTCTATAAATTAGGATGAATAAAATTTCTTTTTACGCCAGTATAAGCGTAATTTTATATTTTTTAATAATATTTTGTTAAATGTTATTATAAAATGATTATTATAAATAAATATTATTATTAAATAATTTACATATAACTGATTTACAACAACATTTCGAATATTTTATAATTTTAACTCTTATGGTAATATAATGATCATTATAACAAGTCGCATGATCAAACAAATAACAAATCTAAAAATATTCATATTATCATAAATCGCAAAGAATATTATTTTCATAATATCCATAACACTCTAATAATCATTTGCCTACGCAACTTCTTTTGTTACTACATATATTACCTCATAAAAGCAGGAATGACGTTAATGTCTTTGAGTGTTCTAGTATCTGAATTGTTTAAAATAATTAATTTGTTTACATGTAAGAGATTCAAAGAGGACAGAATCAGTATACAAAACATACACACATTAATATTAATAAATATTAATAAAATACTGAATAAATATATCAAAAGTTACACGTTCGAAGATAAATTCATTCTCAATTTGTTACATACTCCTCGTCTGATATTACACTTTTCCATAATAATTGTGAATTAAATAATCATATTGAAATTTCTCCGTCCTTCATAATTTATTCGCACCATTGCCTCGCTTCGTTATTTTCCATCTCGTCGATTTCCATCCTTGTAATAATACCACAAAACAACACACTCGTAATGGTTGTATTCCTCTTGTTTCTCTCGCCGTCCTCTCTTGACACACGGATTCCGTTTACGTAACAAGCCAGAGGCAAGTTTTCCAGGAAAATCGTTATCCTCAGCCTCTTGTTCTGTATTGCGTTCGCGTTAAATGGTCGGCCACGTATGGCGAAGCCTCCTAAACCAGACCGTCTCACGATGAAACGCACACTTTGGCGATTGTAACAAATTTTCTTCGTTTGCTCTTGCTTCTCCTCTTCTCTTTTCCATTTTCCTTTTTCTTCCTCCGAGACTTTGGTTCGATTGGCACTTCGATTGATTGCTCGTTCTTTCTTCGACGCGAGCGAGTAGAACGAACGATGATCACTCGTACGTGAAATACGTTCAAAAGAAGGCGTTATTCGAACGCGCGGAGAGCGACAATGAAGCAAGTATTTTGTATCGATTCAATTCATGGTGGTTTGAATTTCAGCTGGTCATTTTAAGTAGAAAATTTTCTGTACATTCCGAAGCTTTGTACTTTTTAACCACAGACGACACGAAAATCGCGCTCCAGTTATTCCGGTAACTTCAACGATGAGTATTTCGTTTTTTTTTTTTTTTTATTCTCTTTGCATCGTTGTTGTGTTAAATCTGCAGGCAGAATATAAATTTCATTCGTGATTTTATAGAGAAATATGTCTGAAAATCTGCTGTGTGACTGGAAAGTTAATACGTTAGCTACTATATGAAATTTATACTAATATTTAATTTTTGTAAAAGGATGTTAATTTTTATAAAAAGTATGAACAAAAGTGAAACGAAAACGGATTTTCATAGTATTATTTAGTTGTTCATGTTATTTTATTTCAATTATTCATTAATTCGTTCGCTTTCATTCATCTAATTTGTTTTTATTCAGCTTATTTCAAACGATCAACGAAACGTAGAATTTCATTTCTTTTTTCAAGAACGAAACCCTTAGCAGGAAATATTATTAATATTATTAATATTATAATTTGTAAATAATATTAATATTATATAAATATTATAAATAAATTTATAAATAATATTAATATTATATAAATATTATAAATAAATTTATAAATAATATTAATATAATATTATTATATTAATATAATATTAATATTATATAAATATTATTAAATATTATTAATATTATAATTTATAAATAATATTAATATTATATAAATATTATTAATAATATTAATATTATATAAATATTATGCCATAATATTATGGAATTTGAAGAAATCGAAGTAACGATAAATTACTCCTCAGCTCTTAGTGAGTTAAAACCCGCTGTCTGCTCGTAACATGTCTAATTTAACATCCAACGTGCATCTCCAAGTTAATCCGAAACCACTCTGCAATAAATAAATTTCCACACGCAAAATTCCAAGAGGGATTGACACGTGCACCACGTTAACGTGACGCGTAGAAAAATCTCTTGGAGAGCCACTAGATTTCGGTACCAATAATGTCAACGAATTTCCACAAGAGGGAAAAGAAAAACATCGACTATAATCAAATCAAGTCTTCGAAACTTCCTTCCTCGTTTCAATGGGGCCGACTTTTTTCAGATTTGTTGGTAGACAGTTCTAACTCGCGGCGACAGTTCACCGAGGAAAAGGAAGAGGAGAAAGGAAAAGAAAGCGAGGAGAAATGGTTTCCTCAGCGATCTTCGGGGCAGCAGCTGGAACTGGTTTGGCTCTGGTCGTCGCGATGACGATCGTCGTGTACCGATACTACGCAGTAAAACGAAAAGGGAAATATTGGAGCAATTTGGATCGCTGGCCGGATCCACCTGGCACGAAGAGACCGGAAGAACGACAGAAAGATTGCTCGGAGCATTGTCACGACGCGTCCTCTTCACAAGTGCTCAATTGTTGGCGGAAGGAGCAGAAGAATTACTATGCGGTGCAGACTAGGGTAAGTACCATGTACTTCTCTTCAACTTCTCTTTGCTTACTACTTGGAATAAAATTGCAAAATCCTCGCAACACTGGCGAAAGTAGGAAATGAATGGAACGATCTTGACGTTCATTTTTAACGAACATTGTTCTATACATTTTATCCATTCAATTGCTGAATTCTCGTTTCGAATTTGATTGATATTAAATATTTATTATAATATGACAATTTTCACGCTACTTTGTTTTTTGCAAGGTCTGAAATTTTTGATGAAACATTCGGTTTATTTATCGGGTTAGAATAATATTTTTGGCTCAGAATAATTGGCTCATTTCTAAGTTTTTGATATAAATTTTGTTATTTTTGCAAAATTTTATTGGATTGACAATATGTCGATATATTTTAGATATTAATTCTGTAGTTTATTAAAGTAATTAGTTTATTGGAGTAATTTTTATAATCATATATTTCGCGTGATTAAAATTCATTCTAATTACATATATGTCGCAATTAGCACACGAAGTGTGAGAGTTTGATACTATGATTATAAACACGTTCTTGTACGATAAATTGGCAAGAATATACATGTCAATTTAATTTTCATATAATTGTTGCAGTCTTATAAAAATCTGTATAAACTTTTAAGCAGATAAGCCACAATTAATTGTAATTAATCAGACATTAGTCTGATCAGTGTTTCTTAATTTTATTTTCTACTAGTTCTAGGCAATTACTTCGTTAATATAATTCCAAGTAGTTAAGTCGGTGACTAGGCAGACACAGCACTTCATAGAATACTTGTACAGTGCTGAAACTCTTTTTAATTTTACTTTCCACTTAAACAAGTTTCTGATTGCTGAGACTGCAGATTTTTACGCAATTCAGATTATTGAGAATGCAATTAAAAGAAGAAAAAAAAAATAGAATCTCGCTGGGAAATTGTTTTACTTACTAAATGTTATAAAGATCACTGTACCTTAGAAATTTTTAAACTTCAAAATTTTCTATAAATGCGTGAAAATCCGTAGTCTATTCGTGCACGTATTTCATTTTATGCACGTTTCATTAATTTTTCCTCTCCATCCACTACAATCGGGAATTATTAATTTCCAATTCGTAACATTCAAATATATATACATACATATATATTTAATATTGAAATATTTTTTCATATTCCATCTCATATTTTTTATCTCATTTTAAAGTGTGAATTACTCTGGTTTTTTTATTGTTCCAAAGTTTTATCAAACCCCTCGATGAATAATGGCCCTTTAATGATACCGAACTTCTCCCCACCTCCTTGCAGAAGAATAACCATCAATTAACAATCTACTCGATATTAATTGACCACCGTCAACATACTTGCAGCTAATCTAAACCGTTACGTAACTAGTCGACTATTTGTATTAGGGTTAATAGAAGCAACCGTTGGTTTCATCCTAATAATTACCCTTTTCTTTACCCGGAACACATACGCGTCCAAGCACATTATAGTGGCTGTATTCTCTAGCGTTAACGTTGTCGGCTAACATATTTAATGCATTGGAAAATAGTTGTGTTTTAATTTCTATGGGGAGGAATTAAAAAGATTTAGAACTGTCATTTTTCTAAAATTTAATTGTCATTTTTTTTTAATTGTCATTTTAAATCGTACTTGTAAATAATAATAATTTAAATCGTAATCATAAATAATATCGTACGAAATTTCTACGGGGATATAAATGGACGAAGATTCATTTTCCATTTATTTGTTCAATCAAATTTAAATTTAAATTGACAACTTCTTCAACTTTTTGCTCGTTAAATTTTGCGTTAACATTATCGTCGATTTTCGATCGAAGTGCTAATTACAGTTGGAATTATAATAAATCTGGAAATAATTAGTTATAATAAGTAATATTTTATATTATAATATATATTAATATATTATAATAATATATATTATAATATATATTAAATAATTATTATAATATATATTATAATATATATTAAAAATATAACATATATTGTAATAAGTTGATTGGTTGAATTCTATCTTGATTGGGAATTATTAGTATATCCATTCGATAATAATGATTCGTTACATAGTACCATAACTGTTCAAAATCCTATTAGTATCTGTTATCAATTAGACTATGTGCTTTGATAATTATCTAACAACAGTCGACGATTAATTTGAAGGAAAGGGTTGCCAGCATGAGATATAATAGTTCGATACCTTGCTCTACGCGTTCTGTAAAGATCAAAGGTATCTAGGGTAATTCTAATGTTGATTCTATCATTGTTTGATATGTTTGATGGCGATGAAGATTTTCTGCATTGATGAAATTTATTCATAAAATTTTAGGCGGAGTTTATGAACATCCTAAACTTTTATAATTTATAGAATATTTTTAATAATTCCTGTTGATTTATTTTTATTATAATTAATTAATTTCTTTGTAATTAATCAACTTTTTTATTATTACGTTTTTTATTTAAAAAATACCTCTGACAAAATTAAATAGTTCTAGATGTTTCATTCAACGATTTCTGAAAAAAAACAGTGGACGTTACTAAATTGATGATTATCTCGCTTTTATATGCAATAAACACTAAAAAATTCATGAACAAATATTTAATTCAGTGACATTGATTTAAAAAAAATATTCGCAGAGGATTATAATTATTAAACTACAATGCAAGACTATATTTCTGTAAAATAACAATAAAGAAATAAAAACGGTTATTTTATAGCATGAATACGTATTTATAAAATTCGTAAAGGATAAAAATTTGTTCCATTATAACGTATACGGAGTTCATCCGTCGAAAATGATTACTCATTAATAACTGCCACGAGTATTGGACCGGTTGCTGTAAACATGTCAGTTCTCCACGTGTCAGCTCGTTAACGTGTAGTTTCATTGTTAAATAAATTCAGAAGAGTTTAATTGGAAAGAACATCGCAAATGCTTCAATTATATATTCGTACGGTATCAATGATCGTGAAAATTTGTAATAAAATTATCTCTAGTAATAGAAATTTCGATAATTTATAATTTTTTTAGCATTTAAAGAATTCTTGAACATTTATTTCCAACGTTCTGTGGATAAAATACAAATCCATGAAATCACAAGCGGGGGATGAAATTTTCTGTCATACGAGGTATAATTTTCATCACTAGTAGTGGGTGGTGCTGCCTTATAAAACTTGCCTGAATCGATTCGAAACTGGTTTGTTAGATGTAGGTAAAGCAGACTGTTTGTATCGTATACCGATAATATTACTTCCTTTTTTATCATTTATTGATAACAAAATCTACCATAAGGGTCTTTTCTATGAATTGTTGGTACATTCAAGAAAGATACATATATTATCGTGTGAAACTAGATTTGATACGAAAATAAGGAGATCTTGTGGCCCCCTGTGGGCCAAGAGAATACATTCTATGCCAGGTCTATTCATATACCTCGTCTGTGATACCGACGAGCCAGTCGGTAAGGATTTCAAGTAATCGATAAACCCGTACAGGAAACTTGTTCGTTAGTTGTAGGTAAAGCAGACTAGTATCATATACCAATAATATTAATGCCCTTTTTATCATTTATTACATAGATAACAAAATCTACCATAGAGGTCTTTTTTATAAATTGCTGGTACCGTCGAGATAAGAAAGATAGATTTATCATCCTATGAAACTTCGTGTTCTAATTTTTAAAATATTAGTTGAAAAATTCGCACTTCACAGCCTCTGTTTGTGATTTTATTCATGGTTGTTATTCCTAAACTATTGACCAATATATTGTTTGAACAAAAGATTTTTTTGCAAACTGGAATACACCATTAAATTCGTCGTTTAAGAAATACTAATTTCATCAATTTACACAAAAACTTCGATAATTTCCAGGATATTTATCAGAATATGTTTCGTTCCCCCACCTTGAGAATAGTTTTTGGAAATATTTTTTTGAAAACTAGATTCATGCCAAATCGGCGATTCCGGGTTCGGTATGTTCCCTTGTCAGAACAAATTTTCAAGTACACTGTAATTTATTTTTGGTCAGAGACGCATTACATATTTAAATTCAAATTCTCTTCATGTTCTCCAGCTTAAAAATTAAATTAATACTTTCATAATCGAACCAAATATTCGAACATTTTGAAAACAGAAATTAATAATAAAAGTATAACGATCGTTTAAGAATCCAAGTCGCGGCTAACAGCTTCGATTGCTCGTTAAACGAGGATCAACTAATTTTCTCGTGGAGTTCGAACAAAAAATTATTCTCCTTATAGCGGAGAAAACGAAGTTTCTCCTCGGACGATCGATCAAATGAGAATTTACAGGCGTTTAAAGTGAGGAAACTCGTGTTTCCGGGGCGACAAAAAAACAGAGGAACAGTTTATCCGTCAATCAACTCGACGCTAAAACTTCTTGCGAAAATTTATTAAACTGCGCCGCTATATCGCGTTCAGTTGGCAGAAATTTTGTGCTATAAATTAAAGCCTGTCGCTCGTGCATGATTTATGACTAGAGTGCGGATATTTCAAGTTTCAAATATTTAAAGTATTCCTTTTTCTATTTACATTATCGACTTCTGGCAAGATATTTGCCATCTTTCTGCACTGAAACGATTTACAGAAACTATGGAACAATACTAATTATATTGTTAATTCAACTTGGACCAAAATGTAACACAAACCCGTTCTGCATGATTCTACTTCAGTAGATATATTTATTATTGATATTCGGGCAACCAAAGTCACGCGAACAGTGTTAATAAAGTTCACTAATAAGTATCGATCGTCGTAAAAAGCTGCAGAAGGATGAACGCGAGACAAAAATATTGTCGCCTGTCGTTCTATGTTTTCCCATGGATTTAATATTCGCGCGGCTCGTGCCTATAATTTGCACGAAATTCGTAATCTCCCTTATCGTCTTTACCTGTACGCGCACAGATACAGAAACTCCCCAGTTCGAACCGGGAATACACAGAGTATGGAATGTGGATCGATACAGCTCTCTACAACGATG